GCGAGGGCTCGACGAGCAAAGGCTCTGAGGGCGGATGAGCAGAGGGAGGTTGAGATACGGAGTTCCAGCAGCCTGGCTGGAAGGTATATATGTTTTGAGCACAAGCCAGGAAGAGCCATTGGGCTGGGGCACAGAAACCTGAGATGGCTGTACCCTATTGGCAGTGGGGAGCCGGCGAAGCTTCTAGAGAGGAGAGCAACGTGGTGCCAGTGGGGTTTTATAACATCAAGCTGACCCCGGCCCTTAGGAGGGATTTGGAAGTGGTGAGGGGGTGGGCGAGCTAGTATCCTGTCCCCCTCACAGGCAGAGCTCCCCTCCAAGAGCCCACCTCTGTTTCCATGCCATGTCCCCCTCTGTCCCCCATCCTGGTCTCTGCAATAGGGACAGCCCCTACCGAGGAAGGTATCACTCCCACCCCTCCTGGACACCCATAGCCCCAAAGGCCCCCAAGTCTCAGGTACCAGAGTGAGGCACACTGGGATGCTTTCCCTGCACTCATCAACATTCCAGGGCATCCAGGTCATGGGACCTGAGAGTCAAGCACCTTTGGAGACCATCTGGGCCAACCTTCCAATTGTACAGACGAGGAAACTGAGGACCCAGGGAGGAAGCAAAGTGCTGTAACCCACAGAGAAGCCCAGCTGCCCAACAAGAGCCCCTAGGCGCACTTTGTGGGAGCTCCCCGCCTGCGTGGGCGGCTAGACTTGACCCCTGTGCCAGTGTGGATGCTAAGTGTGATGTCCAGCCGCTTCTAAGCCCTGTGGGAGGCCCAGCAGAGCCACAGGCATTGGGGAGATTGGGTTTGAGCCGAGACTGGGTTTGAGCGGATGTGCTTCCAGCCAGGGGGTACAGCACAAGCAAAACTGGGAGGCCAGAGTGAGCACAGAGCACGCAGTGCCGGTGGCTCCCGCACCTCCTCCCTGCCTGGCATAGCTGACTTTGAAAGGCAGAGGGTGAGGGGCTCACGTGGGACTCAGGCGGGAGTAGCTGGCAGAGAGGGTTCCTGTGTAATCTGGGTGAGGGCTCTGAACTGATGGGGGTGTCTTATAGAGCAGGGCTGGGGTGGGGACGGGGGAGCCTCAGGTGCAAGGAATTGAACCAGAGTAGATTCTGTTGCCTCTAAGGATGGTCTGGGGGAACGAGTGGTGCTGGAGACAGCCTCTCAGCCTTGTGTGTGTCTGTGTGTGTACGTACACTGCCCCAGCCCTCTAGAGCAGGGCAGGGGCCAGGGCCCTAGGCCCAGCGCCACCCCCCGCCCCCCGGACTCTGAAAAAGCTGTTCTAGACCAAGTATGACTGAGCCCCGCTCCCAACATCCACCCGCCTGCCCAGCCAGGACAAGAGACTTTCAGTGCTGCCCGCCTGGGGGGCCCGAGGAGGGGGCTGCGCCAGGTGGGCCAGGCGGCTGATGAAGGGCCGGAGGGGAGTGGGGTGTGAGGAACTGGGCGTGCTGCCAAGGAGGGGGCGGGCAGGGGAGGGGGAGTTGGAAATAGCCCTGACCACACTCCCTGGCGCACACAGATGTGAGCCCGCGCAACCGTGAACACAACCAGCGGTGCTCGCAGACCTGGGCTGGGTGGGGCCTTCAGGGAAGGAGGTGAGGACAAGATGGGAACAGGGGCTGCTGAGCTGCGCTGGGGCTCCTATTCAGTGCCAAGAGCAAATAAACAAGGGGGCCTTTGGGTCTGAGACTTGAGCCTGTTCCCTTCCAGGTCCCTCCGCTCCTTTACCGCCTTGCCGCCAACTCCTGGCCCCATCCAGCTCCCCTTTTGCCTCCAACATGCCCCTGACCCAACGTGGGTCCAGTTCTGTAGAGCCTTCCAGAGTTACGACTCGTCCTCCAGGTGCAGGCGTAGGGTGTGTTTCAGAAGTATTGTATTACCATTATTACTGAGTGTGTATGAGTAATTTTTGAATGAACCAAATTTGTGTGAACAGTTTTGTACTTGGATTCTCCCTAGGGTAGGGGCTCCTGGCTCTCTGCTTCTCAGGAGGGCCCGTAACTCCAAACAGGGGAGAGGATGGAGCTCTCTTATAACAGAGCTCCTACCTCCCGAGACACCCCGTGGGGGGCACTAACCATGTTATCCTGCAGCTTCACAGCAGCCCTATAAGTCAAGAAACATTCCCCATTTTACAGATGAGGAAACTGAGGCTCTGAGAACGAGAAGGACTGGCCTCAGGTCCCTCTTGGGGTACACAGGCCATGGTGTTCTCACCCCAACCACAGCCGCCTTTCCCAGATCAGGCCAGGTGGGCGGCCACCGACCAGTGGACTCAGGCCCCCCAGCAGAGGAGAGAGACGAGTCCTCAGGAGAGAGACAGGTCCCTGAGGACCCCAGATCTCTGTTCCCATCTCTGCAGACCCCTCCAGTAAGTGACCCCTACCTTTCCAGACCCTCCCCACTTCCTCACAGCATAAGCAGATCTTCTTCAAGGAAGCCCACCACTCCTCCACCGACAGCTGGGGTGGCAAATGAAGCCCCATCTGTCTCAGATGTAGGGTAGCGGCTCTGGGGCTGCTGTCAAGGTGGCTTGGTGGCGCGGCTCACTCATCTTCTGGACAGTGCCTCTCCTGTTGACCATTCCTTCCTCCCACTCAGCTCCTGCCCACGCCCGTGCCGCTCCCCGCCTGCAGAAGAGCCGGCCCCGCCAGCTCTGACGTGCATTAGCCAGGCCTCCCGCCACTGCTCATGCTAAACCGTTTCAGTGTGTGTGTCTCTTGCGGTTTAAGTGTCATGGTGGGTCAGTAAGGCAGCCTCCCCTCCCGGACCTCACTGCAGAGACTCCCCAGCCCAGGCCAGCCCCCCATGGTTCATAGGGAAACCAGGACCCAGAGAGGGACAGCTATTTTCTCAGAGTCACACAGCAGATCCTTAGCAGGGTAGGGGGTAGACCTCTCTGCTGTTTGTCCTTGTACCCTGGTTTGGGTGTGGCCTTCCCCACAGGACCAGCAGCTCCCCGAGGGCAGCTCCCATCTACTTTTCTCTGAGGTCTCCACTGTCTTGCTGCACCCAGGACTGGGCCCACAAGGGGCATAGAGATCACTGAGCCAACCAGGGGTTTTCAGACTGTGTCCACGGTGCTCCGGGGCTTTACATTCCCATATCTGGGAATACGGGATGCTTGCACCGCCCCGATCCATGCACAGCAGTCTCATGAACATGTGTTTACAGATCGGTGTTTGACGTAAGATACAGTTTTGATAAAGTGTTCTGTGGCTTAAAAGAAAGGCTTGAAAACCAATTAATTGCTTTGAGTTAAGACATACTGAGAGCAGGGGAGAGTCAGGTCACATACAAGAAAGGACTTCCTGGCTTTCAAAGAATACAGATCAAGATTGATATCAATGGCCCCTGGGAGGTGTCCTTCCCCAGGTGGAGCAAGTCTGGGGACTTGAAGGCAGGGAGCAGAAGGTAGTCCCAGCTTCCTCCCAGCCAGCCCTGGGGACCTGGGCTCTCCTGCCCCAGCATCCCATTCCTGTCCCTCTCGGAACCAAATGGGACACTCCTGAGTATCCAGGTAGACAGCAGCCTCATGGTGCCACCTGCCTGCAGGCCCAGAGACACCATGGCTGTGGCTGGGCCCTCTCTCCCCCCAGGAGATCAGCCTCCACATTCAAGATGATGCTGTGTCCCACAGGCTGGCTGATGAACTAGACCATCAGATAATAATCCATAATCCCTGGCACCCTTCCACCTTTGCCCAAGCTGTTCCTTGCAACGGCTCTTCTCTTCTTCTCTCCATCCTTCAAGGTCCAGCTCCAGCATCACCACCCCGGGAGGCTTTTCCAACCATTGATTATTCAGGCCTACAGCCTGGTCTGCCCCCCTTCTGGGGCCCTGCCCTCCATCTCTGTGAGATTACAGGCCTTTCTCCCCCTACCTTCATCTGGCCCCTGCCCCTGTTCTGTGACCTCCATCAGCGTGACACCCAGTAGGTTTACGTACATGGGTGTGCAGATACACACTTGCAAACACACACACACACACAGTGTTCTCAGAAGCCTGGCTCAGGGCCTAGCAAAGAGAGTGTCCATCCCGGAGCCAGAAGCCTGGGGGAAGCCCCCAACTCAGGACACACAGCCCCCAGCTCCACCACCAGGCCGGGGCCTCTAGCCTGCGCCATCCTTCTCTCTGGGAAGATGGAGAGGGGGTGGAGGAAAGGAGACCAACTTCCGTTCCCACCTAAGAGCAGCCCCCACCCCCGCATTCAGCTATAAATATCAATGGGCCCAGGATGCTGATTCCCACGACACCAGCCCTCCCTGCCCCTTCCCTTGTGTGCAGTGACTGGGGCAAGTCCAGCTCTCCTACAGCTGGAGGCCAGCCAGGCAGGCCTCCAGCCCAGACACACACACACACACACACACACACACTTCTCACCGTGGTGAGGGCAGGAACGAATCACCCTTTTTGGGCGTCTTGGAGCAGCTGAGAGTAAGCTTCCCTCCCGCCCCTCAGTCCTGACTCAGGCCCCACCTCTCCCTCCTCTGAGTCCTCAGCTCCTGGAACCTCTACAGGGCTGGGGGAGACCGGAGGCCAGGCTCACGGTGGTAAAAAACATGGTGTTAGAGAGCTTAGAATTTAATTCCAGCCTCAATACCGGTGACCTGGCCTTTCTGAGCCTCAGTTTTCTCCTCTCTGAAATGGGATAAATAATTCCTACCTCCTGTGTGTGTTGGGGATTAAAGCCCTTTGCTTGGAGTAAATGCTCAGTAGATGCCTGGTCCTGAGGTTGCTGTTATCCTCTTATTCCCATCTTCTTCTGGAGTGGGGCAGGCCCAGCAATGGTGGCGGAGGACGGGTGGGGGCTGGTTCCTGCTTAGGAATCTTTGAGAAAGTTTCCAAAGCAGGGGATTAGAGAGGGTCTGTGTGGGATGAAGTGACACGGAAAGGGGGAGGCAGGCTCCCAGGGGACCTGTCAAGCCAGCCTCTGCCCGCCAGCCCAGGACCCTTCAGAAAGGGGGGTGGGGATGGGTCCTGCATCTGACTGACTCACTGGGCTGAGGTCCACACACCTCTCCTGTGTGAGGAGAAGCAGGACAGCCCCTTGCAGCCCCACCCCAAAGCCTAACGGTCCCTTGGATGGAGATGGTTGAGCCAGGACGTAGCACAATCAATCTGTTGAACGAATGACCAAATGAAACTCAGACCCTGTCCCAAGAGCGGATGGGTGGCGACGGAGAGAAGGAGCAGGCCTCGGGACCTTTTATAGGATGGGGAGCCTAGAAGCCTGTCTTTTCCCTGCTCTCTGCCCACCCTTCAGGGGCCCCTCTGGAGGTAGGGGCTGGAGGCCAGGGCCCAGTGATGTGAGACGGCTCCCATGAAGCTCCCTGGGGCTATTACCACCACTCATTAAGCAGTAGTGGCTGCATCGTGAGGAGCAGGATCCAGAATGAAGGACTGAGGGATTCTGTCTCTCCTGGGCTGCTTGGACCCATCAGGGGTATTGGTGACGCCTGAGTCCATGTATGCGTAAGATCAGAGTTGGTGGAGGAGAGGGGAAGTGAGTCTCGGGAAATGGCTACAGAGTGGGGTGAGCAGCCTTGGGGAGTGCCAACGGGAGGGACACTGGATAAAAAGCCTGGGCCCCCAAGTCAAGATCCCAGTGTGGGGGCATCCTCGACTTTCACCCCCAGGGAGGTAACCTTCTGAACAGACTGTTGGGCAAAGACTGGTCAGCTCCCCAGATGCGTGCCAATAGAATCCAGGCTCCTGCCCCCGGCTGAGGCTCTATCTCTGGACATCTGGTGCCCATGTGCTTCCGGACACTCATCTGGAGCCCAGCTGAGCCTCGCCAGGGGCAGGTACTCAAATGGGAGCCCATCCTTCCAACTGTTGACAGCCCCGGGATAGAAGAGATATTGTAGGGACATGAGCCAAATGTGTAATGGCAGCCCTTGGGATACCTGGCCCTGCTGTGTGGCCTTGAGCAGACCTCTGTCCGTCTCTGGGCCTCTGGGTAGGATCTTCATTGTCCAAGGTCAGCTCTAAGCCTCTTGGGAAAAGGACAAAGATCTCTGCTTCTATCCAGAGACAGCCGGCTGCTTATCTGGGTCCACACAGCAAGGCAGGCTAGGCTCAGAACGGGGCTGAGAGGCAGCCCAGCCTGCCAGAGCTCTCTGGCATCAAGAAACCGTTTTCCTAAGTTGGCACGGAGCCCTGGGGCTCTCCTGGGATGAGAGCAGCGGCTCCTCTCCACCCCCAGTTCCCCTCTTCCACCCCCACCCCCGGCCCCAGCCCCACCCTACCAAAAATAAACCCAGTCACCCCATCTTGTACCAGCCAGACCCACCCAGCCCCTCCAGAGCCAGTTGAGTCACTGCTCAAAGCTGCTCCTTTTTTTAACTGTCTGAGTCACCCGCTGTGGCTGTAGCTGCATGACACATGCCCCAGGCTGTAGCCATCCCACAGCCCCCAACGGCACAACCAAGGGAGGGGAGGGGTCTGAATAGAGGCTGGCAGCAGGTGTGAGCCCAGGCCATAGCCTCAGCCTGTAACTCCTCCAGGCCCGGGGAATTCACCTCCTAGCAAGTCAGAGCCCAGACCTGTCCCCAGCAGTCCTGGAATTGCCCTGCCCGCTCTGTCCAGGACAGTCCTTCCACGATCTTGGTGACAAAGCCCGTGTGCATCAGCTCTGCCCCCACAGCTTTGCTTTGCCTCCAAACGGACCTGGGCCTCCCAGCATTAGATTGCCGGGAACAGAGGGTCTCCAGGTCCTGGGGGTGGGAGGAGGATGCAAGGCCTGGCCTTCTTGGGTACAGGCCACAGAGATGCCTAATTCTTGCCCTTTCTCACCTGGATCCAACTGACCAGTCTGCCCAGAGCACTGTGAAGACTTTCTGTGGGACGGAACCCCCCACTTCAGATCTCCCCTTGCTTCCTCTATCTCCCCTCTATTCAGGGCATCCGCTGGGCTGCAGATCTCTCTCCGCGGACCCCTGCCTGTCTCTGTGTCCTCACCAAGGCTGTCTCTCCATCTCTCTCTCCCCATCCCTGCGTCTCTCTCTCTGGCTGCCCTGTTCTCTTTCCTTTACCCAGTGCGCTGGCAGGCGGCACCCGCACCCCCAGAGGTCCTTCTCTGCCTCCTGTGCCTTGCAGACATGTAACACACCCTCACCTCCACCCATTCCCACAAAGGACTCTGGGCCCCAGGGACCGATTCTGAGAGAAAATTTCCATCCTCCTCACCCAAGTCCGCTCCTTCCCCTGCCCCAAAGAGCAGGCTACATCCTGTCCCAGGGAATGTCAGGATCCCACAGGCACTGCCTTGGGGGCTGAGAAAGGGGGGCAGGGGGCCTGGGAACGGCTCCACCCCCAGCGCCTGCCTGAGCGGGAGCTGCGCAGCCTCAGACCCCATCCGTCTCCTGTCTGTGGCTGTGGCCTCCAGCTATAAATAGGTGTTCTGATTCTATTTTCTTTAAAAACAAGCACCAGACTGTCACCACAGGCCCAGAAAAGCTCTCCCTGGATGGGGCAGTGCCCCACTCCACCCCAGCCATTGTGTCCAGCCTCACCCCACCCCCGGCTGCAGGCACCGGGGCCCTGCAGGGCAGAGGAGGACTGAAAGAAGCTTGGAGGTAAGACAAGTGGGGGGCAGAGCTGGGGCAAGCTCCCAGGTGCAGCCCCTCGCTGCTGGGTCAGCCAGGGAATGTGGCACCCCTCCTGCCCCGTTGGGCCCCTCCCTCCTATCTTGCCATCTCCCGTCACCAGTCTTGTCCCTTTGAGGCTCACAGTGTTAACAGAGAGAGGTGACAGTCACACAACTCCCCAAGCCACGGTTGAGTCTCTTTGCACCCCAAATGCGGAGAAGGAGCTATGGGGAAGGGTGGGGGAGGACTTCTTCCCTGAAGGGGCACGAGGGCATTTCACAGGCAAAAAGGAAAGAAGAGCTTGCTGGGCAGAAGGCCCAGCCTGAGCGAAGGCCAGAATGGGGACCTGTTAGGTGCCCAGGGTCTGGTGAGGCTGGCACGTGGGGTGTTCAAAGGAGTGAACAGGAAAGCCTGGCGGGGCAGGGGCAAGGTCACCCAGCACCTTCAGTGCCACACCAGAGGGCAGGGGCTCGAAGGCATCCAGGCAAGGGAGGAGGATGGAGCACCTCAGTTTAGGTTAACTGTGACTGCACCTAGCAAAGGGAGGCAGCAAGGGATGGTGACCATGTGTCTTGTGGGATGGCACAGAGAAGCAAGAGGGGGAGACAGACTTGAAGGACAAGTAATGGAGCTGAATGGAGGGAACGTTCATTCATGGTCAGGAAGAGGGAGAGGGTCAGAGCAACTCTCAGGTTTCTGCCCAGCGGTGGGTGCGTGTGGGGCCTTCACTGGGTGGTGAGCAGGTTGGAGGAGAGATGATACTGAGTCTGGCTTGAGCGGGTGAGCTTGGGTTTGGGGGTTCCTATAGATGTTCCCGGTGTAGACGTCTAGGGGGCATTGACCAGCAGGCCCAGAGCCCTGGAGACTTGGTGCTTGAGACAGAGATATGGGTACGACAGCAAAGAGGCAGTGCCTGAGGTCAGGGGAGAAGAGGTCGGCTGGAGAGAGGGTGGCAGAGGTGGGGCACAGCTCAGTGAGTGCTGACGGACTGAAGGGGTCTGCGGAGTTGTCAGATGGGGGTACTAGGCAAGGAACTATTCCAAGAGGAGTCAGGCCTGCCCAGCAGTGGAGCAGGGGCCGGGGGGTCTGGGGATCTCTGGCAGAAGCTGGTTAGCACAGAGGCCACCAGCAAGGACACTGTGGTGTCCTGGTCCACCCTCCTAGGCCAGGCACAGCACCAGTGCCAGGAACTTGCTCCTCTGCTTGGCTGCTGTGAGACAGCAATGCTGTTAGAAAATCCCTCCTACGGGGCAAATGTCACCACCATTTGATCCTTGCATTCCCTTAGGTGCTCATGTTTCATCTGTTGGTACCTGTGTATGGGCCTCCTGGATGGCAGATGCGCTGGCCCGGAGATACAGGCCCTGGGTCCTGTCCTCAAGAGCCTCCAGTCTAGCCAGGCCTGTGGCCTCTCAGAGGTGGCTGTGCTGTACCCACTGTAGTGATCACACCTCCCCACCAGCCCCTTCCTGCTGGGCTGGGCTGGCCAGGGGCCAGGTGTGTGTGTGTGTGTGTGTGTGTGTGTGTGTGTGTGTGTGTTGCGGGGCTGATCCCTGACCCAAGCCTCTGCTACCCCCAGTCTCCTGGATGTGGGACTTCTGTCTGTGGGGTCCTCCCACCCCTCCTTCCTATATTTCAGATGGGGGAACTGAGGCACAGATGGCTGTGGCTTCGCCAAGGCACAGCCCGTTGAGCACAATCTGTGCCAAATTCGTCCAGGCTTCTGTCCAAACCCACAGTCATTGCTTCCACTGTCCCCCATCCCAGCTCACACACTCACTGTCTCCAAGGCCAGCCTGCCAGGCTGGGGGAAGCCCTGAGACACCTCCCCAGCAGCCCTGCCCTTAGCGGTTTCTCATCCCAGAGCGATGGGGAGACTTGGAGATGAGCAACAGGCGTCCCACCTCTGGCTTCTGCCCAAGAGAGGGCTGGCCCATCAGAGAGCAGGCTTCTCACCCTGGGCAGAGCCCACACCCCCTGCCTCTCCACCCTCATCTCTCACCTCCAAGACCCCCATGGGCATGGGTAGCACTATCAGAGGTTTCTGGAATGCGCCATCTGCAGCCAGCCTTGAAGAAGGTCCCTCCCTGATCCGGTGGCCCCAGACCAGACCCCATCCAGCCACACTGGGAAAGGCCAGCTGCCAAACCACCCATCGAAAGCAGATGCTTTCCCCTCCCTTCCTCACTCCCCCCCACCTCCAACCCCGACCCTGTCCGAGGACCGGAAAGGAAGGGGAAAAAGTGTGTCTTCCCAGGCAGGAGGCCAGCTCTCACACCCTCCTCCCACTGGGGCCAGCCACAGATGCTCCACTTCCGATTCACAGGCAGCAACAAAACCCACCCCCACCCTCCCGCCTTCTGTGTGCACACCCCCCTCCCGCCTTCTGTGTGCACACCCCCCTCCCTGAACCCTCAGCACTCAGCTGTGGAGCCACACCCACAGGGGCTCGAGTCCCAGCCTTGCAGCTGCTCATCGAACAGATAACTGCTGTCTTTGCCCCTCAGTTTCCTCACCCGTAAAATGGGAGCAGCTTCACAAGGACCCTGTTGCAGTGGGGGACTGCAGACCCATGCCAGGCGAGGGTCCTTCACTCTGTTTCTTCCCTGCCGGGACCCCTACCTCAGCCTGGGCCCACTGAGATGAGGATCCCACCTTGCTTCTGGGGCCAAGAAAGCCAGAAGGAATGGGATGTGGAAAAGGGCATAGACATCCACTCAGCTGCCCCATAAGGAGGAAAATTATAAGGCAAGGAAAGGCCGCTCGGAATTGCTCCATGCCACAGCAGCCCCACCCTGGGGAGCAGCAGGGCCTCCACAAAGACTCCATTGAGGGCCCCGCTTCCTCCACGCCCCTGCCCTCCAGCCTGGGTGGACTCTGGGCTGCTTCTTCCAGCAAAACCTCTCATTTTCCCTCCCACTTCCTCTGTGCCCCACGTGGCCCCGGGGTTGGAACGTGTGGCTGGGATCCCAGGACACCAACCCTGCCCCTGTCGACGTCTGTGGACCAAGCTCAGCATCTCCCACCCCAACCCGTTCCCTGCTTCCTCTCCAGGGGTACTCACCTTCCGGAGGGGATCCCTGAATTGGAAGTGTTCCCCAGTGTATGCCACTCAGCATGGGTGGCCTCCGGATGCCTGGTTAGAGGACCAGTAGCTGAGACCAGTGACCAGAGTCAGGGCTCAGCCAATAGCTAAGGAAACTGTTGTCCTGCCCTGGCCTCCTTGGCCTTGCAAGGAACCAGAAAGGCAACCAAAGACGTCAAGTACCCCGAGAGTGAGTCTCAGGGCTCAAGAGTTCTTGGAGCGAGGAGGGGTGGGGCCACCTTGACCCCAGCGAGGTCTTCGTAGTATTGAGACGGGGAGGTGGTCAGACAGGGCCTGGCGTTCCTGCTCTCTGCTGAGACAGCTTTTGTCTCCCAAGAGGAAGGCTGCTTCTTTAAGTCCCATGTGATTTTGAACTAACCTACCGTTGTTCCTATGGCTGTGGCTCACAGGGCAGGAGAGGAGCAGGCGGTCGGTAGGCCTCTGGGTTATTCCCCGGTCTGGAATCAGTGGGTAGGAGAGCCAGCGCGGTGAGCACAGTGGGTCTGCAGATGTGTGAGCCTCTCGCAGGCAACCAGCCCTGGCAGGTAGTGAGCCACCTAGCCTTGGCTCTATGACCCCTGTGTCACCACCAAGGGCAGGTTATGTTGCCCCTTTGGTCTGACCTGAAGTCATCCCCGTCACCTTCGCCCGTTACCTTCAGTGGTAACAGGCTTGGTGGAAGGTCATAGCTCGGTTTGGGAGGGCTGAGCCTTGGGGGGGACTATGGAACATGCTGAGGGAGGGGCAGACACCTGAATAGATGCCGTGACCGCTTCTCCCTTGCCCCAGAGCCCAGGGAGGCAGGCGTGGCCAGGGAGTCATGGTCCAGTACCCAGAGCCAGACTGGGCCCACCGCACCAGATCCTCACCTGCCCACGCTCACCTCGACCCGCTGTGACGCGTGGCGCTGCCCTGCACTCATTCACACTCAGGCCCACACGCAGCCCACTGGGTCCATTCAGGAGTCTGCAGTGCTCTGTGGGGCTGAGTTCTCATCTCAGAATATTTGCTTTCCCAGCCCTGAAATGGGCGGGAGCAGTCAGCCTCACCGGCAGTCCTGGGAGCTGAAGCTCTGGTTCTAAATCAGAGGGAACTTTGCACCCCACCCTCCTCAGGGGTCCCCTAGCTTGGCGGCAGAGTGCTGGTAAAGAAAAAGCGAGTCCCTTGGAGGCGTGGGAGGAGGGGATCAGGCCTGAGGTCCAGAGGGCCTGGGTGATGGGAGCAGAGCCCCGGGCCCATCCCTGCTCTCACACAGGGCCGGCATTCAGCCCGCAGGTGGGCCACTCACACACATACACACACACACACACACACACAAACACACACACACGAGGGGAGACAGAGAGCCCTTCATCCCTGTCTTGGCCCTCCCGGAACATCCCACCCCGCAGCTCCCCGTCAGACTCCCTCAGGGGGACTCTCCCAGCCTCACCACTGCCTACCCAGGGCCGGGATCTGGAACCAGCATCTGTCACCCCTGGTGCCAAACCCCAAGAGGCTACGGTGGAAGAGCCCAGCTTCGCCCCTCCCTCCGCAGCTGGCTGGTGGGGTGCCCCCTCCTCCCTCTCCTGGATCCTGTGCACAGCAGCAGGCTCACTGCCAACATCCTGCCTTTTCTGTCTCTTGGTTTTTCCTCCCCCATCTCCTTCCTCAGGCCTCCGTCTGGATCCCTGAGTTCAGTCTTTGTGGAGGAGGGGGTCTTTATGTCTCATTCTCACCTTTACTGCCTTTCTCAGGCTTTCTGTATCTCCCAGGTTAGTTCTCCTCTTCCATCCCCGTCGCTACGTTATTATATTTGTGCGTGAATGAATGAATGAATAATGGTTCCCAAGTCTCTCCCCATCCGTCTCTCACCTCCTGCTCCACCTTGGTACCACTGGATGTACCTTCCCCACATCCTCACGTCCAGGTCTCCCACCACCCACCCTTGACTGTGGGGCCGGGCACTTTCCACCGGCCGTCCTGCCGGCAGCTCTGGGCTCCCAAACTTTCTCCCTTATAAAGTCAGGCAGCAGCAGACACCCAGGAATGCTGCTGCTGCCCGTGACGCATGCCGGCTCTGGGGCCGCCTGGCTGCTCCCAGGCAACCAGGAATGTGGTGGGAGGGAGCGCACAGAGATTGACTGCCTGGGGTGGGGTGCCAACAGGTGGCAAGGCCAGGAGCTGCAGGCTTTCTGCTTCTCTCTGTCAGATTGCTTCTCCCCTGGAGCCTCAGTTTGTCTGCCTGGTAAGTGGAAGCCAAGTACCCTACTGCAGACAAGGGCCACAGAGAATCTGATGTTGTGGAACCCATCACCAAGGAGTGAGGGTCCCGGGGCTGGGGAGGCAAGTCTGGCTCTCTGGACTGTTCTGGGGCAAGGGCGGTACTCCCAGTTACAGCCGGGATGGGACAGAGGGAAGAGGGGGGCCAAAGACCAAGAGAGGGAGAGAAGAGGAAAAGCAGAGGCAGAGACAAGGGAGATGTGGGACAGAGACGGGGAGAGAGACAGACTGGCCAGCCCCAGGGGTTCTGAGGACCCAGAAGGAGCAGGGTCTGCAGCAGCCCCAAGACTGGAAAGGCACTCATGCTTGAGACCCTGCCCCTGGCCAGCCTGGGAGGGAGTGGGGAGCCTGAGAGAGACTGAGAGGCCAAAACCCCGCTGATAGGCAGAGGGTTGAGCGCCATGATGGAAGTAAGCCTCATGTTTGGGGTCCCCCAGGGACAGGGACCAGGTCCCCATTCATAACCATCCTAGGAGTGGCCCAGGGAGCCAGGAGATGCCAGCATAACCCATGCTGTGCCAGAGGGTGGCTTGTTGGGGGACCTTGGCCTAGGCTTCATCCCCCTGTGTGAGAAAGGGCCGCAGTGGGGACGGATACAGACTCTTTCTGTGCCCCCAGCCCTCCTCTCAGGAAGAGGGATGGAGCGCCCACCCTGGGCCCAGACAGCAGCGCCCTGTTCGTGGGCAGGAAGGGTGGGAAGCTGTGGGATTCTCCACCTTCAGCAAACCTCTCTGGTGGATGGGTGCCGGGTGGGAGGGGCTGCAACCCTCCAGGAACACACTGCCCCTTTCATGGAGCCAGGCACAACCAAAGTCATGGCGGGCGGGCACCGAGGGGCAGGACAGGCCTGGGCACAATCACTGCTCTGTCCTGGCAGCTCCCAGCCCACACGCATACACATGCACAAGCACACAGCCTTATGCAAACCCAAAATACACTCCCAGCAGCCACCCACACACTTGCACACACATGCAAGCACACATCTACACCCCCCTGGACATTCAGCTGTGTATCCTCTTCCAGGCAGAGAAACCCATACCTGTGGCACTCGTCCTGACCCTCCTACTTGTCCCCCAGACCCTTTGGGGCATCCTGCCCCCCCCATGCCAAAGGCCTGGAGCCACCCAAGCAGTCCACACCATTAACCCTCCGCACAGTCACGTTTGAGAGCAGACCCAGACCAGAAAGGGACCTCCAGGACTAATCCCCACAGACAGGAGGAGGAAAGAGTGGGAAGGAGTGCCCATTTTACAGAATGGTGACACTGAGGCCTGAGTTGGGCCCCTTCTTCTGGCCCAGAGGGCAGCATGCATAGCTGCTGCAGGCCTGAACTGGTGTTTTGATGAATCATGGGTCTTCTTGGCCCAGGAGAGTCAAGGACAGTTCTCCAGGCAGTAATGATGCCTCCTCTCCTCCCCTCACTGCCCTGGCAGCCCTCTCAGGCTGCTGAGCCTGGTGTGGCCCATGCTTCTTTTCTCTCTACGCCTTTGTCTTCAACATTTCTAGAACCTGTATATCCCTGCCAGTCTCTTGTCCTTGCTTCCCTCTGAGACTGCCCATTTCCCTCCCTCTCTGCTCCTCTACACAACCCTCACCTCCCCCAAGAAGCCCTCCGGGATTGACTCCAAGCTCATGACTTCTTTATCCTGCATCCCCTCTCCATTCGAAGTCCCTCTCCAACTGTCCCCCTGCCCCCAGCCCAGAAAAGGGACTCTGGGTTCTTACAACTGCAGCCCATCAGAGACAGTAAGAGAGGCAGCAGAAGGAGACCAGGAGGTGGGGGGAGTGGCACTGTCAGAGTTTCCAAAATCCTGGCCAGCAAGGCCTCAGAGGCCTCCGTTGGGGCGAGGGGGCTGCCCGGCCTGTGCGCTCCCAGCAGCACAAGGCAGCTTGTGTGAGCCCTTTCCCGCCTGGCCCCGCAGGAAACAGCAGGGCTCAGCCCCTCAATGGGCCCATTCAGCCCCCAGCTCTCTGGAAAGAACCTCTGCTTCCTGTCACCCTCCCACTCTGGCCTGGAGAACCAGGCCTAACAGGCTGCTACCCTCCCCTGCTGGGAGGGTGCTGGAGGCAGGTGGTTCAGTAGTTAGAGACAGCCTGCTACTTAAGTTCCCGCCTGCTCCTCTGCTTGACTGTGCCCTGACAGGTTGACATCCACCTTTAGCAAAAGGGAGCGTGGGTGCGGGCTTGTGCTCACTCCCACACAGGGGAAGCAGTGGGCCCCCAACTCCTGCGTGGCAGGCAGGTAAATGTTTAGCAACAGACTCTCCTGGAGACAGGGAGCCCTGATTTGCAGTGTTTGCCTCTTCCCGTGGTATAAATATTCTCACTGGGCAACATCACCTGGCTTGCAAAATTCCTGAAAATGTAACAGTCAGCTCTTGCCAGCCGTCCTGAGTTCCTACGTGCCACCGTGGTGGCCCCACCCTCCGGGGCCACCCGCCCCCACTCTTCGGCTGCGGCTGCCCTCAGCTTAGCGTGCTGCGTTTTGTCCTTAAGAATCGATGATCTTGCAGATAAGGCACCCCCGTAGGTGCCTGCCAGCTGCCAGTTCCCTGGTCTGTCCCTCACGGGCACCGAGGTGTCCTGGGCCTGCTGGGCTGTGTCCGCCTGGATGGTTTTGCAGTTCTCCTTTGATTCCTTTAGCTTCCCAGACAAGGCTCTGGTGTTGCCAGCAAGTGCTGGCCAGAGGGGATAAGTAGAAGGGATTTCAGCTCAACTCCGGGGGGGGAAGAGCGTCATCCTTCTTGGACATCCCTCCATCCCTCCAGGCTGTGTTGGCTGCCCTTAGGACATACACGTCTGGGACTCCTCCAGTGGTTGATGCTACTTCTTCAGGTGCATGTCAGCTGGCTCAGGCTGCCCGGGGACCAGCATGTGTATGGCTGGTGCCAGATCATTCCTATCAAGGCCATCAGCCTTTACTCACTCTCACCGGATTTAAGAGAAACCCAAGGAGGGGTGAATCATCTCTGTAACCCATTCCCGTCTCCCCAGCCCTGGATGTCAAGTGGGGAGAGTCAACATTATATTGGGCACTAAACTCCACAAAAGGAATGGACCAGAAATTGTGGCATCAGGTTAGAGGCCAAGGGAGGCTAATTTGGGGAAACTGCCTGGAGGGGGTGACAACTTAAAAAGAGGAGGTGTCCCTACCCAGGGACTCCTGACCCTGGGAAACCCCAAATATGACCTCCTGTCTTGGGAGGCCCTCTGGCCTGCCCATCAGGCCGTCATCCCCTCCCAGGCCTTGTCTTCAGCCTCAGACCGAGGCTTGAAGAACTCAGCTCTTGTCATCCCTGGCTTCCTGGCCATGGTGGAAATAAAGGGGCCGGATCTGACCGCTCACCGGGGACCTTTAATAGCTAAGCAGCAGGAAGCAATACAGGGTGATGGAGGAAGTTTGGCCCATTTTGGGTCCGGCACTGCACGTGGTCTCCGTCTAGCCTCAGAGCCTTTGCTCTTTGATGGACTCAGGCCAACAAGCGGCCCCCCCTGAGCCCCAAAGACGGCTGGGAGCATGGCCCAAGAGAGATGCAGGGATGGGTGGGTTGCCTGACTTACCACCACCAGAGCCCAGCTGTGGTCCCAGCCAACCCAGGGGCTAAACCATACGGGCGCTTAGAAGGAATTTGAGCAGAGATCAGTTTGGGTAGAGGTGGTTCTCCTAGAGCTTCATCCCTGGGGGTTTTGACCATCGAGCCAGGTGATCAGGCCAGTGACCATTTCCCTTTGAGCCAGACCCAGGATGGAGATTCCTCTGGGGCCCAGGGGAAGAGAGCCAGAGCTGCCAGAGGCCTCTGGCCCCAGAAACCTCCGAGGAAGAGACCTGAGATGCTTGAAATGCTGGGTCTGGCCTCCTTCAGAGCCAGGGTCTGGGCTGGACACAAGGTGAGGCCGTGCCTTCTGGTGCCAGGACCAAGCAGGTGCTGGGACCAGCTGAGGTCACGGGAGAGCGCCACATAGAAGAACCGTGAGGGTGTACCAGCATGCAATGCCCTCCCTGCAGCCCACCCGTCCACCCTGCAGCACCTCTCCTCCAGGCAAGGGGCTAAGCTTCACCACAGCTCTCTCTGTCACACAGCCTCCTTCTTCGGAGAGAACCACCTGGAGGTTCCTGTGGCCATGTCTCTGACTGACATAGACCTACAGCTGGAGTTTTCTACGTCCCAGCCCGAAGCCCTGCTTCTCCTGGCGGCAGGCCCGGCTGACTACCTCCTCCTGCAGCTCCACTCTGGACGCCTGCAGGTCAGTGACATCTCCCTGCTGGATTCCTTCTCTAGCTTTGAGTGGCCCCCAACCGGCTGTGTGACCTTGTGGAAGTCACTTTTGCCTTGAGGTCTCAAGTTCCCCACTGTGAGACGGACAGAAACATCCCAGAAGGTGTGACTTCCTCGTGAACCAGCTCTGCCCTCCTGCCCTCTAGCCACACTTCTCACCACGACCCCTGGCCGGTCCTTTGTGTCCTGACCACGCTGGCTGCTTTCAGCTCCCTGCTGCCTTGTGGTCTCTCGCGTTTGCTCACTACACTCCCTCTGCCTCGTGCAAGCCTCGCTCGTTCCCTGCACCTGCCTAACTCCAGCCTCTCCTTGAAGTCTCAGCATGGGCATCCCTTCCTCACCTGGACTGGGTCCCCTCTCCTGGGTCCCAGCACCCCCGTGCGCTCCTCTGGCGTAGCACCAATCACCCTGATTCACCACGGTCTGTCGATGGAACGACCAATACTGCCACAGCTTCCTCAGTTTTCCGTTTCATCCTTCAAGTCACCACAAGCTTTATTGGCAAAGAGTCTTCTGGCTCTCTCTTGAGGCTTCCCCCTAACGATGAAGAGTTTGAGAACATGAGGTCTTAGTCCAAATTTGGGGGAGCCGTCTGCTTCCACACCCCAGGGGAGAGAGGCCTCTGGCCCTCTGAATCCCTCAGCTGCTTTCAGTCCATCTGATGCTGCCATTGCTTCTCACTGCCACAAGGTGTCACTGTTGAACATGGCCTGGTACAACCTAGCACTGATGCTCTTCCTCCCTGCCAGGTATATTGATGCCACACCCCTAGAAAGGTGCTCCGTACGTGGACTCTCAAGGCCATACGTTCTTAGTGCTCTGCTCTTTCAGTTTCATACCACCCATTTTACCATCTGGTTGTGGGAACACCACACCAGAGCCAGCTCTGGTGTCAGTGTCCTGGGGACAGAACCATGTCTCTCTTCTCTCCCCAAGGACCTCCCCTTGGACAGGTCAAAACACAGAGCATCTGATTGGGCTCCCCATTTCTGAACAGTGAGCCTGGCTGCCTCAGTGACCCCACGGTGTTTTGGTCTACTTAGGGGGACTCATCAGGGGATTCCCAGGTGCCCGTTGTGCCAGGGGAAGAATCTTCCGTATGCCAAGGTGATTTTTCGAGCACCTCTCACCCAAGGAAAGAGGGGAGACATGAAAGAATCTAGGCTGAATCTCTAGGAAAGCATCTTGCTGTATGACAGGTCTGTGTGGGCAGGGACCACATCGGATTCACATCGGGGTCCCCTGAGCCCATCCAGGCCTGGCACAGAGATCACTTTGGTGAGTGTTTGGGGGATGCGTAAAGAGATGGCAGGAAAGGGAGAGGAGTGGCGTGAGAAGCCTTTGTCCTAGGCCCTCTGCTCTGGGGACCCCAAGTGTGGGGGACCAGTTATGCTTTTACTGCAGAAGTGATGGATTCAGTGTGCCTCCCCCATCCCCCATTCCCCCGTCTCTCCTCAGGTCAGATTTATCCTGGGCCAGGAGGAGGTGAGGATGCAGACCCTGGCAGAGACACTGCTGAGCGACTCCATTCCCCACACTGTGGGGCTGACCGTGTCAGACAGCTGGGCCTTGTTGTCAGTCGATGGGCTCCTGAATGCCTCCGCCCAAGTCCAGCAGGCCCCCCTGGAGGTCCCCTATGGGCTCTTCCTGGGGGGCACCGGGAGCCTTGGCCTGCCCTACCTGAGCAGAGCCAGCCGACCCCTGCGGGGTTGCCTCCACACAGCCACCCTCAATGGCCGCAACCTCCTTCGGCCACTGACCCCAGACGTGCCTGAGGGCTGTGCTGAGGAGTTCTCTGCCGGTGATGACGTGGCCATGGGCTTCTCTGGGCCCCACTCACTGGCTGCCTTCCCTGCCTGGGGCACTCGGGACGAAGGCACCCTGGAGTTTACACTCACCACACGGAGCCGGCAGGCGCCCCTGGCCTTCCAGGCAGGGGGCCGGCATGAGGACTTCATCTATGTGGACATATTTGAGGGCCACCTGCGGGCTGTGGTGGAGAAGGGCCAGGGCACCGTATTGCTCCACAACAGTGTGCCTGTGGCCGATGGGCAGCCCCACGAGGTTAGCGTCCACGTGGATGCTCACAGGCTGGAAATCTCCGTGGACCAGTACCCCACACGAACTTCCAACCGTGGGGTCCTTAGCTACCTAGAGCCACGAGGCAGTCTCCTCCTTGGAGGGCTGGATGCAGAGGGCTCTCGCCATCTCCAGGAACACCGCCTGGGCCTGGCTGTCAACGTCTCCCTGCTGGGCTGCCTGGAGGATCTCAGCATCAATGGTCAGAGACGGGGGCTCCGGGAAGCCTTGCTGACTCGCAGCATGGAGGCTGGCTGCAGGCTGGAGGAGGAGGAGGAGGATGCCTACGGCCCATACGAAGCTTTCTCCACCCTGGCACCTGAGGCTTGGCCGGCCATGGAGCTGCCTGAGCCCTGCGCCCCTGAACCAGGGCTGCCTCCGATCTTTGCCAATTTCACCCAGCTGCTGACCGTCCGCCCACTGGTGGTGGCCGAGGGCGGCACAGCCTGGCTGGAGTGGCGGCACGTGCAGCCCACGCTGGATCTGAGCGAGGCCGAGCTGCGCAAATCCCAGGTGCTGTTCAGCGTGAGCCGTGGGGCCCGCCACGGCGAGCTGGAGCTGGACATCCCGGGTGCCCAGGCACGGAAAATGTTCACCCTCCTGGACGTGGTGAACCGCAAGGCCCGCTTCGTCCACGATGGCTCCGAGGACACCTCCGACCAGCTTGTGCTTGAGGTGTCGGTGACAGCTCGGGGGCCCGTGCCCTCCTGCCTTCGGAGGGGCCAAAGGTACATCCTGCCCATTCAGATAAACCCCGTCAACGACCCGCCCCGCATCATCTTCCCGCATGGCAGCCACATGGTGATCCTGGAACACACTCAGAAGCTGCTGGGGCCGGAGGTCTTCCAGGCCGATGACCCAGACTCCGCCTGCGAGGGCCTCACCTTCCAGCTCCTCGGTGTCCCCGCCGGCCTCCCTGTGGAGCGCCAAGACCAGCCTGGGGAGCCAGCGACCGAGTTCTCCTGCCGGGAGCTGGATGCGGGCAGCCTAGTGTACGTCCACCGCGGCGGGCCCGCCCCAGACCTGACGTTCCGGGTCAGCGACGGGCTGCAAGCCAGCCCCCCGGTCACGCTGAAGGTGGTGGCCGTCCGGCCGGCCATTCAGGTCCGCCACAACACGGGGCTGCGCCTGGCCCAGGGTTCCACTGCACCTGTCTTGCCCTCCAACCTGTCGGTTGAGACAAATGCTGTGGGGCAGGATGTGAGCGTGCTGTTCCGACTCACCAGGGCCCTGCAGTTTGGGGAGCTGCAGAAGCAGGGGGCGGGCGGGGCGGAGGGCACCGAGTGGCGGGCCACACAGGCCTTCCACCAGCGGGACGTGGAGCAGGGCCGCGTGAGGTACCTGAGCACCGACCCGCAGCACCGGGCCGAGGACACCGTGGAGAACGTGGCCCTGGAGGTGCAGGTGGGCCAGGAGACCCTGAGCAATCTGTCCTTCCCAGTGACAGTCCAGAGAGCCACGGTGTGGCTGCTGCGGCTGGAGCCTCTGCACCCCCAGAACGCCCAGCAGGAGGCCATCACCACAGCCCACCTGGAAGCCACCCTGGAGGAGGCAGGCCCGAACCCCACCACCTTCCACTATGAGGTGGTTCAGGCCCCCAGGAAGGGTAATCTTCAGCTGCAGGGCCTGCGGCTGTCGGACGGTCAGAGCTTCACCCAGGATGACCTGCAGGCTGGCCGGTTGACTTATGGGGCCACAGCACGTGCCTCAGAGGCAGTCGAGGACTCCTTCCGTTTCCGGGTCACAGCCCCGCCACACTTCTCCCCACTGTACACCTTCCCCATCCACATCGGTGGTGATCCGGACGCCCCTGTCCTCACCAACGTCCTCCTCTCCGTGCCTGAGGGTGGCGAGGGCGTCCTCTCTGCCGATCACCTCTTTGTCAAGAGTCTCAACAGTGCCAGCTACCTCTATGAGGTCATGGAGCAGCCCCGCCACGGCAGGTTGGTGTGGCAGGGGGCACAGGACAGTGTCCCCGCGGTGACATCCTTCACCAATGAGGACCTGCTGCACGGCCGGCTGGTCTACCAGCATGACGACTCTGAGACCACGGAAGATGACATCCCCTTTGTGGCTACCCGCCAGGGCGAGGGCAGTGGTGACGTGGCCTGGGAGGAGGTACGGGGTGTCTTCCGGGTGGCCATCCAGCCCGTGAATGACCACGCCCCTGTGCAGACCGTCAGCCGCGTCTTCCACGTGGCCCGCGGTGGGCAGCGGCTGCTGACCACCGATGACATGGCCTTCAGCGATGCTGACTCCGGCTTTGCTGATGCTCAGCTGGTGCTGACCCGCAAGGACCTCCTCTTCGGCAGCATCGTGGCTGTAGATGAGCCCACTCGGCCCATCTACCGCTTCACCCAGGAGGACCTCAGGAAGAGGCGGGTCCTGTTCGTGCACTCGGGAGCCGACCGCGGCTGGATCCAGCTGCAGGTGTCCGACGGGCAGCACCAGGCCACAGCGCTGCTCGAAGTTCAGGCCTCAGAGCCCTACCTCCGTGTGGCCAACGGCTCCAGCCTTGTGGTCCCTCAAGGAGGCCAGGGCACCATCGACACAGCTGTGCTCCACCTGGACACCAACCTAGATATCCGCGGTGGGGATGAGGTCCACTACCATGTCACAGCTGGCCCACGCTGGGGGCTGCTGCTCCGGGCTGGCCAGCCAGTCACAACCTTCTCCCAGCAGGACCTGCTGGATGGGGCCATTCTCTACAGCCACAACGGCAGCCTCAGCCCCCATGATACCCTGGGCTTCTCTGTGGAGGCAGGGCCTGTGCACACAGATGCCGCCCTACAAGTGACCATTGCCCTAGAGGGACCACTGGCCCCACTGCACCTGGTCCAGAACAAGAAGATCTATGTCTTCCAGGGGGAGGCGGCTGAGATCAGAAGAGACCAGCTGGAGGTAAAGGGCTGAGGGCGTGAGCAGGGGTATGGGCCAGGTGAAGGGGATCCTTCCCTCCAGCCTTCATGCCACGCGTGCTTGGATGGTTTGGGATGTGCCTGTGGTGGCTTCTGGGCCAGTGTGTGTATGTGCCTTAGGTATGTAACTGTACATGTGCATGTTGGGTGCCTGAGGGTTTCTGGGGAGTTTATTGTACATACGGCTGCCTATGGGTTACGTGTTCCTCCACATGTCATGTGCACACATGTACATGCTGTGGCCAACTATTCAAATTCCTGGGCCCCACCCAGACCACAGACTCTGATGTGGAGCCTGAGAATCTGTATTCGAACAAGAGTAGGCTCTCTGGAGGATTTTAACAGGTACAAACTTTGAGGACTATAGGCCTTGAAGACAGGCTTGGTTGCCCCCACCGCCCAGCTCCCATGTCCTCAGTTCTTTTTTTTTTTAATATTTATTTATTTATTTTTATTTTTGGCTGCATTGGGTCTTAGTTGAGGCACGCAGGGCCTTTGTTGCGGCTTGCAGGCTTAGTTGCCCCGAGGCATGTGGGATCTTAATTCCCCCGACCAGGGATCAAACCCACGTCCTCTGCATTGGAAGGTGGATTCTTAACCACTGGACCACCAGGGAAGTTCCCCATGTCCTCAGTTCTTTCCCCAGACCAGACCTCAGGGTCTGGACAGGGCTGCTGACCACCCAGGAACCTCACAGAACAACCACAGGCCATCCAGCAGACCCATTGCCTTGCTGTGCAACCTCACACCAGTTGCTTGCCCTCTCTGGGCCTTATTCTCTTACACTGCCAACTTCTGAGCCTCTTGTGGTTCTGGCTGTCTGGACTTTAGGGCAGACTGTGACTAAACATGTCTGTTGTCGGGAAGTCTTCTGCCGGGAGAAGGCAGCATTTGAGCCAGGCTTTGAAGAGTCTGGGATTTAACAGCAGAGAATGAAGGGACAGTATTCCAGTCAGAGGGACAGAACAGGAATGTGAGTTTGGGGGTGGTGTGTAGCCTTTTATGGCTGGACCATCAGATGAGGAAGCACCTTCCCTCCAGGCCCTAGACTGGACTAGGGTCTGCAAGCTGCCTGGGGCCTGTACTGTAGGAGTCTGTGTCGCTGAGAAGGATGGGGCGCCCTCTTGTGGCAGTAGCATGGCAGGGGGAGTCAGTGTGTGTGTGCGCACATGTGTGCGACATATATGTGTCTCTGTCCAAACATTTGTGTGTGGTGAGACTGTGTGTCCGTGTCACTGAATCTGAGGATGTGTGATTGTGTACGTCGCCGAGGGAGTGTGTACCTCAGAGGCTTCAACAGCCTCCTTCTGCGACCCCTCTCCTAACCAGGCAGCCCAGGAGGCAGTGCCACCGGCAGACATTGTGTTCTCAGTGAAGACCCCACCGAGCTCTGGCCACCTGGTGATGTTGTCCCACGGCGCCACGGCGGCCGAGCTGCCCAGCCTGGACCCTGTGCACAGCTTCTCTCAGGAGGCGGTGGACGCGGGCAGGGTCCTGTACCTGCACTCCCGCCCTGAGGCCTGGAGTGATGTCTTCTCCCTGGATGTGTCCTCAGGCCTGGGTGCGCCCCTCGAGGGCATCCACGTGGAGCTGGAGGTGCTGCCCGCTGCCATCCCACTGGAGGCGCTGAACTTCAGCGTCCCCGAGGGCGGCACCCGCACGCTGGCCCCTCCACTGCTCCGCATCACTGGGCCCTACTTCCCCACGCTGCCGGGCCTTGACCTGCAGGTGCTGGAGCCACCCCAGCATGGGGTCCTGAAGAGAGAGGAAGGACCTCAAGACAGGACCCTCAGCACCTTCTCCTGGAGAGAGGTATGGTCAGGGAGGCCCAGGGTGCAGCCCAGCTCTGGGGGCAGAGTCTGGGGGTATGCACAGATAGGAGGCAGGAGCCCGCGTTTACAGAGCACCTCATCTCACCCTCCCTCACTGGCAGAGAGAGATGAATGTCCCCATTTCCTCCACTCCTTCATTCCTTTGCTCTGGGAGAAATGATTGTCCCCATTGCCACCTGCAGAAACTGAAGCTCTGGAGGAGTCAATCTCCTCCTGCACCCAAAGGCAGGGCATGAAACGTGCTGGGCCTGAGACCCACCATGGGTCTCAGGCCTGCTGGGGCCTGACCTCTAGCCCTGGGCCTGCCTGCAGGTGGAACAGCAGCTGATTCTCTATGTGCATGACGGGAGCGAGACGCTGGCAGACAGTTTCGTCCTAGTGGCTAATGCCTCAGAGATGGACCGCCAGAGCCGTCCCGTGACCTTCACCATCACCATCCTGCCTGTCAACGACCAACCCCCCATCCTCACCACAAACACAGGCCTGCAGGTGAGAGCATTCTAGGACCACCTCCCACCTCCCCTCACAGAGAGAGGCCAGCACATAGCTCCCCGTCTGTGAGCCTCAGTTTCCTCCTCTGTAAAATGGGGATCCTGCCACATGCCTCACTAGGTTATTGGGAAGAGAGAAGAGCAACTGCACTGAAAATAGAACACAGGTGTGGGGCTTTATCACTGGACACTTATAAGTGCAATAGACAGCCTTGTGAATGGACATGCTTGGTCCTGCTGTTCCCTGGACTCACCCTCATCAGGAAGCTTTTTCCATGGCTCAGGACCAGGACTCCTGAAGAAAGCTCTTTCAGACCCTTAAGGGTGGATTCCAACTGCTCTCTACTCCCACCGCCAGCAAGTGAAGGCCACCGCTTGGCTGGCCGATCCCCTGCCTCTTACGCTACTGCAGAGTAGTGGTGCTGCCATCCAGCAGAGGTGGAAGTTGAGGCCCAGAAAGGTGACGAGACTTCTCCAGGGTCACAGTAGAAGTCACTGGTGGAACAGAAAGGGTGTGGCTTGACCAGGGCCGCACAGCAGGGTAGCAAATGGGCAGGGCCTTGAATGCTGACTTCTAGAGTGTGGACTCTGGGTCAGCAGCAGCCATGGAAGGTTTCAAAAGAAGGCTGACTTGGGCTGCCTGTGACGTGGGGCTCTGGGAATCTTTGGTCGTGTAGGATGTGCCTGTGGAGAGCAGCCCCGTGGTGGGGAGGCCAGCAGAGGTTAGGTTTCAGGCTAAGGGCTGCCCTGGACCCACAGTCAGATGGTGCTGTGTAGCACTTCAGCCACCAGGTGGTGCTGTCCACCGTGTTTGTGCCAGGAGCCCGGTGCTAAAGCCTGGCATCTATGCCTTGCCGCCTTCTTTCCAGAGCTCTGGCTGAGGTCAGCCTTGGTGGGGGAGGGAATCCGAGAGGGCTCAGTTTTCCAGGTATGGGAGCCCCTCCCCAGTACCGCTCATAAGTTGCTGACGCAGCAGGACCTGTAACAGGACCCTTGGAACAGGAACAGGATCCTGCCCTGCTCGCAGGTGGGAGGCTTGAGGGGGGATCCCCTTCACTCTGAGCGTGGGGTGGGGCTGCCTGCCCCCAGGAAGCCTTCACCCACCTGCCTGGGGGCTCGTGATTGCACTGGAAACACCTGGGCCCCCATCCCAGTGCTGCAAGACCCTGGCCTCTCCAGCTCACCAAGCCTCCCGCCCCATCCCTCACCAGGAAAGGGAGCCCATTTCTAAGTATCCTGGGCAGACAAAAATCACGATTCCCATCGTGTGCCAGCCCCTGCCCAGACTCACCATGGAGGGTCTGAAGGGAAACCCCTGCCCTGCCAGTGAGCCACACTGAGCAGCACTTTGGGTCAGGGTTGGGGATCTCTGGGGAGGGGGTGAGAGCTGGGGTCTTCTTGGGGTTCATGAGCTGGCCTTGACGGACAAGCAGGACTAGAGCAGATGGAGAGCAGGGAGCCTGGGCGTGGGAGCCCTGGGCCAACAGGGGAAGATGAATGAGGTGGAGGGCCCTTTGCGCAGGGGAGCCCAGATGGCAGTGTGGTTGGAGCCCTGATGGTGGCCCCAGGGCCAGGGAGGAAAGAAGTGGGTAAGCTTGGTGGGGGCAGAACCTTCGCACGCTTGTATCCCCAGATGTGGGAGGGGGCCACTGTGCCCATCCCTCCGGAGGCCCTTAGGGGCACAGACAGCGACTCAGGCCCCGAGGACCTGGTCTACACCCTTGAGGAGCCCAGCAACGGACAGGTGGTGCTGCGGACAGCGCCGGGCGCCGAGGTCCACAGCTTCACCCAGGCCCAGCTTGACGGCGGGCTCGTGCTGTTCTCACACAGAGGTGGGTGCCGAGGGGTGGGGGTGCCCCGAGGATGGGCGCCGGCGTGGGCCAGCGAGACCCAACTCCACGTTTGTCCTAGGAGCCCCAGACGGAGGCTTCCGCTTCATCCTATCTGATGGCGAGCATACTTCCACTGGACACTTCTTCCGGGTGACGGCCCAGAAGCAGCTGCTCCTCTCACTGGAGGGCAGCCGGATGCTGACCATCTGCCCAGGTGGGTGTGCCATGCCAGGGGCAGGCTGCCTCCCCAGCAGTCACAGGCCTTGCCCTGCCTCCTGGTCAGAGGCTGACCGGCCCCTTTTGCCTCTCGCAGGGTCCATCCAGCCACTCAGCAGCCAGAGCTTGAGAGCCAGTTCCAGCACAGGCATCGACCCCCACCACCTGTTCTACCGTGTGGTACGGGGGCCCCGGCTTGGCCGGCTATTCCACACCCAGCAGGGCAGCACCGGGGAGGCCCTGGAGAATTTCACTCAGGCAGAGGTAAGGACCACTCTCTACAGCCACCGCTTAGACTCCATCCAGCGTCAAGTGGCCCACTCTGCCCCTGGACACACGTGTAGACACGGGTACCAGCTCCAGCCTCGTTGGCAGCCACTCCCTGGGGCTGCCGTGGTCCAGGTTCTGCATGCCCCGCCCTCCAGGAGCTACCAGGCTGGTAGGGCAGATGGGGCTTAGCGTTCCAGGGGGAGGAAGAAGGATGCGGGGAATCAGGGCTATAGGGTCCCAGGGCAGGGATCAGGTTCTGGGGCTTGGCTTCCAGAAGGAACTGCTGTTGGACCCTAGGGGGCTGGAAAAGACACACTGCGTAGGGGACCCTAGACAATCCAGTGGCTGGTGAGGGGCAGTGTTTGGTCTGGAGGGAATAGAGTTTGAGGTAAAGGCAGCTGTTGGGCTTGTGGGCAGAGGTGTGAGCCTGGGGCTCAGGTCAAGAGCCAGCCAGAAGCAGAGTGGGTCCTGAAAGCAGACGAGTGGACAGAAGCAGACGAGTAAGTCAAGCTGGGAGTGGAGCTGCCATCCATCCGTCGTGGCAGCTTCAGGACACAGCTATCCCAGAGCACAGCAGAGGCCACCAGCCGTGGGAAGAGGCAGACCTCTAGGCTGCCTCTGCTGGCATCACAGAGCTCTCTGTGCTAACTGTGCCAGTGGGGCCAGCAGCCATCGCTTAAATTAAGGCCCCTTCTAAGTGCAGGAGGTACCAAGCATTCCAGGGCAGCCTTGGATCTCCCTGAAGGCGGAGTGCGGTGGAGGTGGTCTTTCAGGCATGGGGAAGGAAGTAACTTTAACGAGGGTGGGAAGATTTCTCAGGTCGCTGACATCAACATCCCCCAGGCCTGGGTTCTCTGTTCTCCCAGCTTCTGCCATGGCTCCCTTCCTGCCCCTCCCCACAATGAAATATTGAGCAGGCTGCAGCAGCTGTGCACCTGAATCCCTGGGAGGCTTTGTCATCGGATGCCCAGGAAGGGGGAGGGAACAGGATGAGCCCTTCAGGCCCCTCCCCCACCCTGCAGTGCTTCCCTCACACCCCAGCAATCTGAAGGACTGAATTGAATAGCCACCAGGGGGCCAGGCTGGCAGCGCCACCCAGGGAAGCTGGGAGGAGGCTTCGTGGCAGACACACCCTCCCCCCTTGGAGAAGTGGGCAGGGCAGGACTGGGTGGTATCTGACAGTGCCACTGTGCCACAATACTCTGAGCTGGGTAGGGCAGGGACCAGGTGTCCCCATTTTACAGATAAGGAAACTGAGGCTCACGAAGGTCAGGTGACTCTATTTAGAGCCCATGGCTAGTAAGAAGCAAAACCAGGGCTATGCCTTCGGACTGCTAGGCCAAGATTCTTTGACCAAAGGACACTACTGATTCCCGGAGGTCAGGGACCCCTCCCCACCTTGCCTGTGACTTACTTCATCCCCAGCCAGACACCTCCCACCCACAAGTAGCTCCTGTACGCAGGCATCCAGGCTGTCACCCCCACTCCTGAGGGTCTCCGTTTCCTTCCTGCCCACCCGTCAGCCTGAGCCAGAGGTTACAGCTGGCAGTCCTCGCGGGCCACAGCTGGCCCACAGATGTGTCTTATTTGGCCTGCACATGCATTTAATATTTTAAAATTAGGGGAATCACACACACCCAAAAAAACCAAAACCCTGATTTCCGTTTCTTCAAAGGCCTGTGTTCCCTCTTCCGGCCATCAGCTGAAGAGCAGCTACCCCTCTGACTGGGCTCTGCTCCCCTTCTCGACCATGCGGGGCTCCCCACTTCACCACAACCCCGCTGCTCCTAGAATCTCCTGCACACCGTGACCCCAGTCGGCTTCCATCTCACTATTGCATAAGTCTTGTTTTTCTGAGAGAAGGAAAATAGTTCCCTGTGTCTCCTAAGAGGGGAAAACAGAAGATAAGCCAAGAGGACACACTGGGATTAGAAGGGGGAGGGAACGGATTTCTTGATGGAAGTGGAGACTATTCCTTGGTGTTTAACAGCGGAGGGCCCTAGAGAACAGTGGGTGTGGCTGGAGTGGAGTTGCCATGGGAGGAGTTGGAGGAGGTGAGGTCATGGGTAACGGGGTCACATGGGGTCTTTGAAGCCAAATGGTGGCGAGCCATTTCACTGTCTGAGCAAGAGAGACAGAACCTGACTTTCGTTTTTAAAGACTCACTCTGATTTTTGCATGGTGGACAAACTGTAGAGGGGGGTGGAGCAGGGGCCAAAGCCAGGACACAGTTAAGAGGCTCTTGGGGTAATCCAGACCAGAGATGATGGTGTGTGAGGGGTGGAGAGGAATCAGGGGTGACTCCAGGGTGTGGGGCCTGAGCCACTGGAAGAACAGAGCTGTGCCCTCTGGAGTGGGAAGGCTGGGAGAGGTGGGGCAGGTCAGGGATTGTCTGGGACATGCTGAGTTTGAGATGTCCCTCGGACATCCTCGAGGAGCTGCCCAGGAAGCAGGTGGCTACGAGCCTGGAGTTCAGGAGAGCACAGCCCGGGCTGGAGATACAAATAAGGGGGTCATCTCATGGCTGGCATTTGAGGACATGAGACCCACTAAGAGCACATGGGCAGTGCCTGTAGACAGAGTCTCAAGGCCAAGCCACAGACATTGCGGAGAAGGGGAGGGACCAGCCAGAGCATCTGTGAAGAAGCGACTAGTGAGGTTGGAGGAAAACCAAGGGAGCAGAACTTCCTGGAAGCCACCGGGTGGGCTGGGGGAAGGAATGCTCAATTGTGTCCAGTGCCTCTGAGAACCAGCCACCGGGTCCAGCAACACAGAGGCCGTCGTGCCCTTGGTGACAACAGGAGTGGAAGCCTGGGTGGAGTGCACTCGAGACAGCACGGGGGAGAGTATAGACTATTCTTTTTGGATTTTTGCAGCAAAGAAGAGCAAAAGTGCGGGAGGTGGGACAGCAAATGTTGGTGTAAAAAGTGAAGTCGAGAAGTTTCTTCTTTACGGTGGGCGGATAGCATAGTTGCGTAAGGATGGGAATAATCCGTTTGGGGGGAAATGGATGCCGTGGGAGAAAGACAGGAGTTGGTGGAAGCAGTGTCTTCACTAAGGAAGAGGGTAAGGGATTTCATGCAAAAGAGGAAAGGCCTGCTGTCGAGAGAAGCACGGATAGAGCATTGCTTTTCCCAGGGGCTCAGAGGTTTGAGGTGACTTGCCCAAGGTGGCAGAGCTGGGATTTGACACAGGCATCTGGCTCTAGAGCCTGGCTCTTCACTGTCACGTGACTGTTTTCTGGCGACCCACTGAGTTGGTGATGGAGAGCATGGGCTACAGACATAGAGCGAGGCACAGTGGGGAGATCCTCCAGGGAGGCTGGGCTCCGAGGGGCTGCCAGGGAGACCCAAGTGCCCAGTGCTCCTGGGCACCATGGGCTGGACCTGCCTCTCGTCACAGTAATGGGCTCTCCCCGCAGGTATATGCTGGGAATGTTCTGTATGAGCACGAGATGCCCCCCGAGCCCTTCTGGGAGGCCCATGACGCCCTGGTGCTCCAGCTGTCCTCACCACCTGCCCCTGACATGGCCGCCACCCTTGCTGTGACTGTGTCTTTTGAAGCTACCTGTCCCCAGCGCGCCAGCCGCCTCTGGAAGAACAAAGGTGAACAGCATGGTGGGATGGCAACGTTGCGGGGGATGGACACTGGGAGAGGCCCAGATAGGAGGGGACACAAGGCCAAGGTCAGCAGCTCATGTCAACTCCCAGGACCTGGTAAATTATAGGGAGGGTGGGCAGGTGGGGAGGCTTTGAGGTCAGAAGGAGGGACACGATCCTGGTCCTCCTGGGACCCTGAGCCCCAACCTGGGGTACCTGGTCTGAGGAGGGAGGGACAAACCTGGCCTTGGGGACCCTAATCTGAGGGTCCATGGCTCTCCCCTCAGTGGACGGGACCTTCATAGCCTGTGTCCCACCCCCAGGTCTCTGGGTCTCGGAAGGCCAGCGGGCCGAAATCACCACAGCCGCCCTCGATGCCTCCAACTTCCTGGCCAGCGTTCCGGCCCCCCGGCGCTCGGAGCACGATGTGCTCTTCCAGGTCACACAGTTCCCCCAGCGGGGCCAGCTGTGGGTGTCCGAGGAGCCCCTCCACATCGGGCGGCCCCACTTCCTGCAGTCTGAGCTGGCCGCAGGACAGCTTGTATACTCCCACGGCGGCGGGGGCACCCAGCAGGACGGCTTCCACTTCCGTGCCCACCTCCAGGGGCCCGCGGGGGCCTCCGTGGCGGGACCCCAAACCTCAGAGGCTTTCGCCATCACGGTGCGGGATGTGAATGAGCGGCCGCCGCAGCCGCAGACCTCCATCCCGCTCCGGCTCACCCGGGGCTCCCGCAGCCCCGTCTCCCGGGCCCAGCTGAGCGTGGTGGACCCAGACTCGGCTCCGGGGGAGATCGAGTACCAGGTGCAGCGGGCCCCCCACAATGGCTTCCTGAGCCTGGCAGGGGCCAGCCCGGGGCCTGTGACCTGCTTCACTCAGGCCGACGTGGATGCAGGGCGGCTGGCCTTTGTGGCCAATGGGAGCAGCGTGGCGGGCATCTTCCAGCTGAGTGTGTCTGATGGGGCCAGCCCTCCCCTGCCCATGTCCCTGGCCGTGGACGTCTTGCCCTCGGCCATTGAGGTGCAGCTGCGGGCACCCCTAGAGGTGCCCCAAGCTTCAGGGCGCGCCTCCCTGAGCCGGCAGCAGCTCCGGGTGGTTTCCGATCGGGAGGAGGCAGACGCAGCCTACCGCCTCACCCAGGGGCCCCGGCATGGGCATCTCCTGGTGCACGGGCAGCCTGCCACAGCCTTCAGCCAGTTCCAGGTAGACCAGGGCGAAGTGGTCTTTGCTTTCACCAGCTTCTCCTCCTCTCACGACCAATTCAGCATCCTGGCACTGGCCAGGGGTGCCAACGCATCCGCCACGGTGAATGTCACCGTGAGGGCTCTGCTGCATGTGTGGACAGGGGGGCCGTGGCCCCAGGGTGCCACCCTACGCCTGGACCCCACTGTCTTAGATGCGGGCGAGCTGGCCAACCGCACAGGCAGTGTGCCGCGTTTCCGGCTCCTGGCGGGACCCCGGCACGGCCGCGTGGTCCGCGTGCCCCGGACCAGGACAGAGCCCAGGGGCGGCCAGCTTGTGGAGCAGTTCACCCAGCAGGACCTTGAGGACGGGAGGCTGGGGCTGGAGGTGGGCAGGCCGGAGGGTAGCTCTCCTGGACCTGCCGGCGACAGTCTCACTCTGGAGCTGTGGGCCAGGGGTGTCCCTCCTGCCGTGGCCTCACTGGACTTTGCCACGGAGCCTTACAACGCAGCCCGGCCCTACAGAGTGGCCCTGCTCAGTCTGCCTGCTCGGACAGAAGCAGGGGAGCCAGGGAGCAGCGCCCCCACTGGTGAGCCAGGCCTGGCGGCCTCCAGCCCCACGCCCACCGCGGCCAGGGGGCGCTTCCTGGGCTTTCTCGAGGCCAACATGTTCAGCATCATCGTCCCTGTGTGCCTGGTCCTCCTGCTCCTGGCGCTCATCGTGCCTCTGCTCTTCTACCTCCGCAAACGCAACAAGATGGGCAAGCACAACGTCCAGGTGCTGGCTGCCAAGCCCCGAAATGGCCTGGCGGGCGACACGGAGACCTTCCGCAAGGCGGAGCCGGGCCAGGCCATCCCCCTCACAGCGGCGCCTGGCCAGGGGGCCCCGCCGGGGGGGCAGCCTGACCCAGAGCTGCTGCAGTTCTGCCGGACATCCAACCCTGCCCTCAAGAACGGCCAGTACTGGGTGTGAGGCCTGGCCTGGGCCCAGATGCTGATGGGGCCAGAGACAGGCTTGCTCAGGCCCCGGCCCCAGAGAGCCCTGGGGACACCAGGGGTGGAGGGTGCTGAGAGGAAGCCCCAGGGGTCCGGGACCAAGTGGAGTCAAGAGCTGCAACCTCCCCAGCTCACTCTGAGCCAGGAGAACTGCAAGGGGCCGAGGGCAGAGGCAGGCTTGGAGTCAGTCCCCTGCCCTGGAGCTAGTGTGGGCTGTCAAAACCAGAGCCACTTCCTAGATGGTCAGGACTCTGGGTCCTGGGTCTGTGACCTTGGGTAAGTCACACCTGACCCAGGCTGCTAAGAAGGCAAGGAGAAGAAAGGGAAGGGAGGGACAGATGGGGATTCCTGGCTTTTCCGCTCCAAGCCAGGCCTCCCCTCATCTCTGCCCCAGGACTGAGAGGAAAACTTTTTCCCTTGGTTTTTTAGGGAGATGGTATTTCCTGGAGCAGAGGGCAGGAGGAGAGAGTCCTCCCACTCTCTAGAAGGCATAAGCCAGTGGAGTAATGTATCCAGGGTGTAAGGTGGGGGGGTTGCTCTGGGATGGGTTTATTTAAGGGGCATTGCAAGGAAGCTATTTAGCAAGGTGCTGAGCTAGCCCAGACTGCTGGAGCCCCTGGGGTGAGGAATAGAGGAGGGTCTGAGGCCAGCTCATTCCCAGGGCCCCGCCTTGATGGGCTGATGGCTAGACAAGCATGGGTCTGTGGCCCCAGAGTGGGCTGGGCTGGGGAGCGGGCAGGGTCTCAGGCCATGGGCCCCCGCGGTGCCTGTGCTCCCCTGAGGACTGGGGCGGGTACTTGGGGACACTCGGCTCCATGGGGCCTGGATAAACGGTGCTTCTGGATAAGAGGTTCTGGACAGCCGTGTGTTGTTTGTCTGACCGTGCACTGGGCCCTTGGCCACACGAGCCTGCACTCCACCAGGGTAGGCCATCCCGCCAGACCTCAGCCACCAGGAGAGATGGGGCCCAAATTCCCACCTGTGGCCGCACTGCGCGGCTTGCAGGATCTCAGTTCCCTGACCAGGGATTGAACCCGGGCCACAGCAGTGAAAGCCTGGAATCCTAACCACTAGGCCACCAGGGTCTGTTCCTCTCTATTCATCTCTCAAGAGGTTGGAGCAGCAAAAATGAGGAGGGAGGGGGACTTGGGGATCCCAAGGCTGGGGGCAGAGGGGGACCACCAGAGGTGCCTTCCCTCAGCTCCCTGGAGATTTTCACAAGGCAGATTTCTGCTGGTCTTTACCCTTCCAACAAGAGGACCAGGAGTGCTGCTTCTCAAAGGCAGAGCAAGCAGCAAGGGTTCTGAAAAGTCAGCTGTCCCTGTACATGGCCCGAGAGTCCATCATGTGGTCAGCGATGGACCTGAAACACAGCATCCTCAGAAGGCCCTCGAGTTGCCGAGGAGCCACCACTCTCTGGTCCTTTCCCTCTAGAGGGTTTCCCAGGGTCATGGGCAATGGAGACAGATTCTGGGTCCCAGGGAATACCCCAAGCCCTGGAAGCAGGTTGACGTCCTCAGAAGAAAAGCAGCTGGAGAGCTGTCTGTGCTCTGGGGGGAGGTGGGAGGGGGTGGCTGAGGCCTGAGCACAGCTGCATTGGGGGTAGAGAGCACCGGCCAGCTGAGCGGCATCACCTATCCCTTGTGCTCGACATCTGTAACACCTGAACCGAGAGTTAGGGCAAGGGAGAAGATTCCCTCTCCCCGTGGTGCTGCCCCTGGACCACCCCTCCCCACAATGCCTTTCGCATTTCAGCATCCAGCCTCCTAGAGCCTCCCCCACGCTCAAAAGTTTCGGGGAGGAAACCCAGAATCCTGGTAGATCCCTGCCGGAAGGGCCCCCAGAGAACCAAGAGGGGATTGAGAAAGAGGAGAAGAGGCTTGTCCAGAGTCTTACACAGCAAGGCAACCATAGAGTAGACCAGAGGCACAGCCAACTCCTGTTGCCACACCGAAAGCCTCCGCCTCGTGGAACGTGGCCAGGACCCATAAGTGGGGGGCTCTGCAGAGATCCCTCCATACCCAGAGCTCGCGATCCTGGCCCCAGCTTCCTTTACAAGCCTGGTCTCTCCAGCACACCCCAGGCCAGCCTCATCCAGAGGCCCTGCCCAGGGCATCTCTACGCCACACCCCACACTCTGCCCAGCTTCTCCCGGGAGCTCAAGGCTGCATCCTCAGGGCCCTGATATCTGGGGCCGGTCTCCACCCAGGGCGACGACCAGTTTCCCGGGGAGAGTAAGCCGAGAAGAGGGTGATAGACCTGCCAGGCAGGATCTGGCCTCAGCTCAGGTTTCTCCAGAGGCCTGATGACACCCTCTCTGTTCACATGGCCTGGCCTGGCCTGTCCCCGGTGACCTGGCACGGGCTGACACTGATCCGGCTCCCCTCAAGCCTGGGCTGGACAGTGGGCAGGACCTGGGAGAGGGTCTTTCACTGGGACACCAACCTCGGAACCCATTCTAAATGCGGGGCCTCAATTTATTAGGTAAATACCTTGCAGATTTCAGATATACACCCCAGGCTTAAGGAGGTTGCTACTCACCTTACAAAATAACTCACCATTCGTTCCTTTAAGGAGCTGGTTCCTCCCAGGCGCTGAGGATAGGAGCCAACCTATGCACAAGTGCTCAGGAATGTCCAGGAAACTCTGACCCTCTTACACACACACACACACACACACACACACACACACACACACACACACAATGTGCACTTACAGACCTTCAGAAACAACACAGAGATCAATACTTTCCTATGTCATTCATAGGCACACACACACAGGTGCACATACAAACTTCAGAGTTAAGTGCTCCTTGCCTATGGCCTTCCCACAGTCCCAGGAGCTGGCCACGTTGGGCCAAGGGCCAGGATGTCCTGCCCATCACCAGACCCAAGTTGACATCAGCAGAGCTGGGAAGTGACCCCACAGTAAGGAGGATGGTGAAGGGGGTGTGGGGAACAGAGTAGGGGTTGCCAGAGAAGCCCAGATTCCCAGGTCCCCAGCTTGGAAACCCTGCCCACCACCCTCAATAGTTTAGCCTCTTGGGTGCTAAAGGTGGGGTTCCTTTTGAGCCCCTCTCCTCATGCTACGAGCTGGCCCTTTAAGTGGAGTTGCTGTGGCAGCTGTGGAACCCATAGAGCTGGAACCATTGTCCTCCAATAGGAAGCAAGAGAAATGGTCCTCCTCCTCCTCCTCCTCCTACCCCCCGCCCCAACCAACCACTCCTGACCAGTGGGAACTGCCAGGGGTGCTAGCATCTTCCTCTGGGCCCTGAAGATTCCAGATTTTAAACGGATAGAGGTACCTGGGCAGCCCCCCCAGAATTCTCTCTTTGGGTCTCCTGTTCTCCTGGGTTTTGGGGGTTTTTTTGCTGTCAGTGGCTTTTATTGGAGTTGGGCACGGTTCCTGCCCTCGTGGGGCTCACAGTCTGGTGGGAGGGATGGGTGTGCAGACAGGAAGTTATGACACAGGGCAGTTTGGCATGGCGCAAGCATGGGGCTCTGTGTGAGCAGCTGTCCCTACTCTTATCCAAGAGGAACACAGGGAGTTCATGCAGCGCTGTCAGTCATCTAACCACCATAACACAGCTGCCCTTCCTGAGGGCTCCTCCGGCCGGGCACCACACCTTTGGTCACTGGGTCCTGATGCTGCTGCCACTGGGTGTGTTAGGGGTATACATAGCATCCAGGCTATCCTCCGAGGGGTGCTGCAGCACCTGGGGTTGGCAGCAGTGGGGAGCTCATACTGCCCGGGGCTGAGGAGTCAGAGTTTGCAGAACTTGGAGGCCACGCTGCGCTCGCTGGAGAGATGGGGTACACGGATGATGTCACAAGTGAGGGAGCCCCGCAAGTGAGTGGAGCCAAGATGGAGGCCAGACGTGCTGGACCCCTCTCTCTACAGCCCCTGTCCCATCCCGGGTCCTCTCATAGTTAATGCCATCCCTGGGTAGTTACCGCTAGGATTAGTCAGGCATTTTTGGCAAGGGCATTTGGTGCCAAAAATGCTGTGGGAGGTGCAGATAGAAATTTACCTGGCCCTTCCTGAAGAAGCCCAGACATGCCAATGAGTAACTACCACACCATGTATGCCCTAACCCAGCGGCATGAGCTCGCTGGTGCGGGGAAGCCCAGAGTAGGAGGGCAGCTGGCTCTGGCTGCTTCCTTCTCTCCTTACAGAGTGTCGGGCCTTTCCGTGGAAGGAGCAGCAGGGGCTAACGTCAAGCATGACCAACCTACCTCCTGCTCACATTTCCATTCTCAGTGCAATGAGGTACAGTATTTAACTGATAGCTGCTGTCCTCATAAAACATGCCAACTCCTCAGAGAGCCCCTTGTGGCCACCAGGATAACTGGTGGGTTGTGCTTCACATTTCAGATGTCCTAAGAGCCCCAAAAGACAGGAGCAGCCCTTGGTTACATCAACCAGTGGCCAAGAAGGAATTTTCTACCCAAACGCAGCCTCAGCTGGGAGCTGGAAGAGCTCCCCAGGTCCCCAACACGGCGACTGCCAGCTCTGGTAGCCCAGAGCCTAGAGCTAAACCCAAGGCTTCCTTCTGATGCCTTGTAAGTTCACAGAGGGCTCAAGTGTCAGTCCTGAAGCCCAAATTAGACGGGTTGTCTAAGTCCTTGAAGCAGAGGAGGGTGAGGCCGGCAGCCAGGTCCGATCCAGTGGGGAGGGTCTGCAGGGAGTTGTCCACTCCCACCCTTACCTCCCAAAGACAGGTCCCTGGACAGTGCAGCAGCTCCCTGCACCCTGCCTTCTGCAATCCAGCTGGTCTTTCCCTCCCAGGCCCCTCCCTGCCTGCAGAGGGAGGGACTAAGGGAGGGGTCCAGCCAAGGTCACTAGTCAGTGCATTGGGTCTCCCCCAGGGCAGAGCAACAGCAGCAGAGGAGTGGAGAAGCTGCTGTCCGGCCCAGGCCTGATCAAGAAGGGAAGACGGGCCTCCCAGAGCTCTCTATCCTACAGAGGGTGGGGAGCAAGAAAGGCTGAACGGAGGCTGCCAAGCTGTCCCTTCTGCCCCCCAAAACAAATGCTGGCTGTGACCCCCAGCCTATGTGCTGCCCTGGTACTGGGAGTGTCTTTGGGGCACCCAACTCCCCTCCCCTCCAAGGCTGCTGAGGCCCCCAAGCCTGGCGAAGGCCTCAGCCCTCTGCACCTTGTAGTAAACGTAGTTCAGGGCTTCCCTGGTGGCGCAGTGGTTGAGAGTCCGCCTGCCGATGCAGGGGACACGGGTTCGTGCCCCGGTCCGGGAAGATCCCACATGCCGCGGAGCGGCTGGGCCCGTGAGCCATGGCCGCTGAGCCTGCGCGTCCAGAGCCTGTGCTCCGCAACGGGAGAGGCCACAACAGTGAGAGGCCCGCGTACCGCAAAAAAAAAAAAAAAAGTAAAATAAAATAAAAAAACATAGTTCAATGCTGTGTGCTCCCTTGGGTCAGTGTCCAGCCAGCCCAGTGCTAGGCATGGAGAGATGACTGGGAAACACCTATTGCCAGAATGTATCCCCTTCTTTCCCGCAGGCCTGGAAGGTCTCTAACCACCAGTCCCACCCAGACTTCCTTTCCAAACTTCTCTCATCCCCCAGGAGGGCAGGCGAGGCTCCCTACTGCTGCTCTGGCCCCCATCCAGAGCCCAGGCAGACGTTAAGTTTCTAAGGAGCCTGTTTGACTCTGTCCCTTCTCGCTTCTCTGTCTCTCCACGCCCACCCATGGCTCCCTCCCATCCAGACACCTGGGGTCTATCTGCTCCGAACCTCATGGGCAGAACATTTTGACCACATCAAACGTGGAAGCCCACCACAGAGTCAAAGTGGATTAAATAGGGCAGGAGCGGGGAGACCACCCGGAACCCCT